CTTCTTCTTCTTCTTCTGCCTCTTCTTCTTCTTCTTCTTCTTCTTCTGCTTGCCATTCTCCAGCCACGCAGATAGACCTGCGGCCGTCCACACGAAGTGCTACGGTCAGCACCAGGGCTGCCGCAGCACAAGCCTTGCTGGCTCAGCACCTGGGCTGTCCAACAAAGCCCCCGCAAACAGCCGCCAGTCTATTAGCACAGCCAGAATAGAGGCATTCCTACTATGCTTCTTGCTGCCTGTTGCTAGTGGTTTTTCTGATCTTGTGATGCTTCTGGGTCTTCTTCTTACTACTGCTGCTGCGATTGCTGTTGTTGGTGTATATCCCGGGGTCGGCGGCAGGGGCGGCAGCCCTTAAATATATATATTGGTAAACCCTTGTTATGCTAATCACGTGGAGGTTTTCCAGTGCACGACGAGGTGTCGGGGGTGGTGCACGACTGGGTTCAAATCTTGACTATGTTGGTGCAAGAAACTCATGCGTAAGCAGAGCTCAGATCGCTGAACAACTTGTGTTCAACTATTCAATGGCGATCCATGCAATCAAAAAACAGTCCCAGAAATCTTCAGACCCTTGACTTCGATTTATGTTTTAGAAATCCAGGAACACATGTTCACATATTACTTTGGGTTTTCCAGCCCTTGGAGTGGGGCGGGACTGGGGCGGGAGTGGGGCGGGACTGGGGCGGGAGTGGGGGAGTGGGGCGGGAGTGGGGCGGGAGCCATCAAAGGCATCCACAGCCATCACAGCCATCCACACGGTTATTGACAAAAACTGTTATTAATAACGTCGTTTTTGTCCGGCACATGCATGTGGGAACACATCATTTGACTTTGACTTTAAATCTTCTGCGCGTGTATGAAGACAAGCCTGCCGGGCAGCGGTCCAAGCATTCACTGCAAATCTGGAAAAAGCACAGCGCATCTCAAAGCGCTGATCTAGTATTTATCTTGTATTTCATCTCTGGTGCTTTGATTTGGGACTCCACGGTTGTTTCGACACTATCGACACTAAGTTTTACACCTCCTTGGACCATGCAATGAAGCCCCTTCTGTTTCAACACCAGTTTTTGCGCAATCTTTTGACCATTCAATTCATCAACATCCATTTCAACACCAGGTTTAGCACCGCCCTTTCACCATTCAATGAAGCCACATTCGTCTCAACACCCAGGTTTGCACAACTTTTTTATGTCGACCTTGATAAATATAAAACCATACACAATTGACAAACATTGCCACACACCAGACCACACACCAGGAAATGCACCAATTTTACAGCCTGTAAGCACCAGTTTTCATTTTGATATGTTTAGCATTATAAGGGCTTACCAATATATATACATATCCAAACGAAGTGAGATGAAAAGCTTGAGGCGGCCGACGGGAAGCAAACTATCTGGAGACCCACTCCACAATAAATCGTCGACCAAAAGAACATATGAAACGTCAAAAAAAACATTGTGATTCTCACAAACGTCCCAGTGTCCGAACAAGAGTGCCAGATTAGCATTAAGGCTTTTTGGATGTCTATCATAGTTATAGTTTAATGTCTTCAATCCATCTTCCTTTTTGCGTTTGAAGTAATTGAGTAAAGGTTCGCAACGAACACCCAACATATTAATTGCCACGATCAAGATCGAGATTGAAAGAATAATCAGGACTGCTTTGCATGTCCTTTTCATCCTCACTAAGTTTGTCTTGCACGAGGGCCATGTAGTCGTTTCCTGTCAAACTCCCGGCGGTCCGGCAGAAATGGCACGGCAAAGCAGCTGTAAATTGGATTCCTCTCATTGGACTTGTCGGGGACAATCCAAAGAAGGGCGAGGTAGTTCCGGCAAGACGCTTAAACCTCAGCAACTGCCCGATTCCTAGATTCATCCAAGCACGTCCAGTAACAAGGCACAGACGGATTTGGCTTCTCTGAATTGAGAATGACACGAACACCTAAGACAAGGTCCGAATCAGTTGGCACAGGACGAAAACCGAGCAAAATCTCATGGCAACTAGCATCTCTGCGCGGAGCTCTGGACTTAGGAATTGCTGGCCACTAGTGCTAGTCAGGTTGAAGGGACTTGCTTGAGGCCAGTATTCATTCAGAAGCGCTGTTCATGAAGTACATAGAAACTCTGGTGGTTCCGCTGGTGAGAACCTTAATTTGTCTTACCTGAGACGGTGTTCGGTGTATGTTTATTGGACACCGAGAGCTGTTGAAGTTGATTGAGGGAAAAGCCTACAGCACCAACAAGTCGGCTCAGCGAGCCTGCAGCACCTACAGCTGCACCTTCGTTTGGGGACCACGAACCGCTCAAACTCCACCAATCGTAAAGTACATTGGAAACCCATTGGGATAAACAAGAAAATGTGTGGCATGCCGGTTGTGATTCCAGAACACTGAGACACACCCCTAATTCTCTGCGTGAGTTCAACCTTTTGACTGAGCTACGCTAGCGACTCCCAGGCATTTCTGCCCACAACTAGGTTAGCGCATTCAACCTCAAGCTACATAAACAGAGCAAAAAACTTTGTTTAACCTAAGCGATAGATACGACGGACTAAGGAATGTTGCTGTTCGGAAGGGTTGAAGAACAATGTGTGCATAAAGCCTAACAGCACCAAATTGGAAGCAAACCAAACACTGCAGTGCTGGAAGTAAGCGATCTAATAGTTTCTCAACTGTAAAAAAAAGAAAAATTATCCCGGCAAGAGACCCCAAACAGTGTGTGTGAGGTCTGAAAGCAGAAAGTCTAGAGATCTAGACGCAACTGTGTGAGTGTGAGTGAGAGTGGGAGAGTGAGTGTGAGTGCGAGTGCGAGTGCGAGTGTGAGTGCGAGTGTGAGAGTGAGTGTGAGTGTGAGTGTGAGTGAGCGCGAGTGAGAGTGAAGGTGAGTGTTAGTGAGTGTGGGTGAGAGTGAGAGTGTGTGCGACTGAGAGTGGGAGAGTGAGTGTGAGTGAGTGAGAGTGAGTGTGGGTGAGAGTGACTGAGTGTGAGTGTGAGTGGGAGTGTGGGTGAGTGTGAGAGTGAGTGTGGGAGAGTGAGTGAGAGTGAGAGTGAAAGTGAGAGAGTGAGAGTGAGAGAGTGAGAGTGAGAGTGAGAAAGTGAGAGTGACTGAGAGTGAGTGACTGAGAGTGTCAGCGCGAGTGAGTGTGAGTGAGAGTGAAGGCGGGCGCGATGAGTCTGGGTGAGGGTGAGTGAGTGCGAGTGTGAGTGAGAGCGAGTGAAAAGTCTGCGAGTGGGAGTGAGGAGTGTGAGTGTGAGTGGAAGTGGAAGAGTGAGTGAGTGAGTCTGTGAGGGAGTGCGAGTGTGAGTGTGTGAGTGTGTGAGTGAGTGAGTGAGTGAGTGAGTGAG